GCACGGATTCCTCTCCCCAAACAGCGATCAGATCCCGTACCTCCCGTTCGGTCCATGCTGGAGCTCTTTTGCGATTCTGGGACTCCATCATGGTCACCTGTGCTGATGAGCTCTGCATGGTCACCTGCAACTTTCCACGCTGGCCAAACAGGAAATGAGATTCAAAAGTTCGCGGTTCTTTTCCTGTCTACCTGGCCAGTGCATCTGAGTTGAGAGTGCTGTCCAGAGCGGTCATAATGGAGCACTCTGGGATAGCTCCCGGAGGCCAATACCATCGAATTGTGTCCACAGTACCCCAAATTCGAGCTGGCAACGTCGATTTAAGCGCTAATCCACTTGTCAGGGGTGGAGTAAGGAAATCAATTTTAAGAGACCTTTAAGTCGAAATAAAGGGCTTCATTGTGTGGACGGGTGCAGGTTTACATCGATTTAACGCTGCTAAATTCGACCTAAAGTCCTAGTGTAGACCAGGGCCAAGATCTCTTTCTTGGGTGGTGACAGCTAATTTAGACCCCATCATTGTATATGTATAGTTAGGATTATGTTTTCCAATGTGCATTAGTTTGTACTTATTAACATTAAATTTCATCTGCCATGTTGTTGCCCAGTCACCCAGTTTTGTGAGATCCTTTTGTAGCTCTTCGCAGTCTGCCTGGGACTTAACTATCTGGAGTAGTTTTGTATCATCTGCAAATGTTGCCACCTCAGTGTTTACCCCTTTTTCCAGATCATTTATGAATATGTTAAATAGGACTGGACCCAGTACAGATCCCTGGGGGACACCACTATTTACCTCTCTCCATTCTGAAAACTGACCATTTATTCCTACCCTTTGTTTCCTATCTTTTAGCCAGTTACCAATCCATGAGAGAACCTTCCCTCTTATCCCATGACTGCTTATTTTGCTTAAGAGCCTTTGGTGAGGGACCCTGTCAAAGGCTTTCTGAAAATCTAAATACACTATATCCACTGGATCTCCTTTGTCCGCATGCTTGTTGACCCCCTCAAAGAATTCTAGTAGATTGGTGAGGCATGATTTCCCTTTACAAAAACCAAGTTGACGATGAAATTATGAAACCATGAAATTATGTTCATCTATGTGTCTGACAATTTTGTTCTTTACAATAGTTTTCAGCCAATTTGACCTGTACTAAAGTGAGGTTTACTGGCCTGTAGTTGCCAGGGTCACCTCTGTAGCCCTTTTTAAAAATTGTCTATCCACCAGTCATTTGGTACAGAAGCTGATTTAAATGATAGGTTACAGAAGACAATTAGTAGTCCTGCAATTTCACATTTGAATTTCTTCAGAACTCTTGGGTGAATACCATCAGGTCCTGGAGACTTTTTACTGTTTAGTTTAGCAATTTGTTCCAAAACCTCCTCTAATGACACCTCAATTTGGGACAGTTCCTCAGATCTGTCACCCAAAAAGAATGGCTCAGGTTTGGGAATCTCCCTCACATCCTCAACAGTGAGGACCGATGCAAAGAATTCATTTAGTTTCTCTGCAATCGCCTTATTGTCTTTGAGTGCTCCTTTAGCATCTCGATCGTCCAGTGGCCACACTGGTTGTTTAGCAGGCTTTCTGCTTCTGATGTATTTGAAAAATATTTTGCTATTACTTTTGGAGTCTTTGGCTAGCTGTTCTTCAAATTCTTTTTTGGTCTTTCTAATTATATTTTTACACTTCATTTGCCAGAGTTCATGCTCTTTTCTATTTTCCTCATTAGGATTTATCTTACACTTTTTAAAGGATGCCTTTTTGCCTCTCACTGCTTCTTTTACTTTGTTGTTAAACCACAGTGGCTCTTTTTTGGTTCTCTTATTATGTTTTTTAAATTGGGGTATACATTTAAGTTGAGCCTCTGTTATGGTGTCTTTAAAAAATTTCCACGCAGCTTGTAGGGATTTTACTTTTGGTACTGTACCTTTTCATTTCTCAAAAAGAAAAGGAGTACTTGTGGCACCTTAGAGACTAACCAATTTATTTGAGCATGAGCTTTCGTGAGCTACAGCTCACTTCATCAGATGCATACCGTGGAAACTGCAGCAGACTTTATATACACAGAGAGAATATGAAACAATACCTCCTCCCACCCCACTGTCCTGCTGGTAATAGCTTATCTAAAGTGATCATCAGGTAGGCTGCAGTTTCCACTGTATGCATCTGATGAAGTGAGCTGTAGCTCACGAAAGCTCATGGCCCACCTGATGATCACTTTAGATAAGCTATTACCAGCAGGACAGTGGGGTGGGAGGAGGTATTGTTTCATATTCTCTGTGTGTATATAAAGTCTGCTGCAGTTTCCACGGTATGCATCTGATGAAGTGAGCTGTAGCTCACGAAAGCTCATGCTCAAATAAATTGGTTAGTCTCTAAGGTGCCACAAGTACTCCTTTTCTTTTTGCGAATACAGACTAACACGGCTGTTACTCAGAAACTTTTCATTTCTGTTTCACTAACCTCATTTTTGTGTAGTTCCCCTTTCTGAAATTAAATGCTACAGTGTTGGGCCGCTGTGGAGTTTAATTATAATATGGTCACTATTATCAAGCGGTCCAGCTATATTCACCTCTTGGACCTGATCCTGTGCTCCACTTTGGACTAAATCAAGGATTGCCTCTCCTCTTGTGGGTTCCAGGAATAGCTGCTCGAAGAAGCAGTCATTTAAGGTGTCAAGAAACTTTATCTCTGCGTCCTGTCCTGAGGTGACAGGTACCCAGTCAATATGGGGATAGTTGAAATCCCTCATTATTACTGAGTTTTTTATTTTAATAGCCTCTCTAAACTCCTTGAGCATTTAACAGTCACTATCACCATCCTGGTCAGGTGGTCTGTAATATATCCCTACTGCTATATTCTTATTATTCAAGTATGGAATTACTATCCATAGAAACTCTATGGTACAATTTGATTCATTTAAAATTTTTACTTCATTTGATTCTACACTTTCTTTCACATATAGTGCCACTCCCCCACCAGCACAACCTGTTCTGTCCTTCTGATATATTTCGTACCCTGGTATTACTGTGTCCCATTGACTATCCTCATTCCACCAGGTTTCTGTGATGCCGATTATATCAATATCCTCATTTAATACTAGGCACTCTAGTTTACCCATCTTATTATTTAGACTTCTAGCATTGGTATATAAGCATTTTAAAAACTTGTCATTTTTTGGCTGTCCCCTATTGCATGACATAATCGAATGGGACTTTTTTTCATTTGACTGTTTCTCATCAGATCCTCCCTGTATTTTATCATTTTCCATTCTCTCCTCCTTATTAGGACATAGGGAACCTCCATTTATAGATCCTTCCCTAAGGGATGTCCGAACCACATGCTCCTCCGCACTCGTCGGCTTTCCCCCAGCCCTTAGTTTAAAAAATGTTCTAAAACCTTTTTAATTTTAAGCGCCAGCAATCTGGTTCTGTTTTGGTTTAGGTGGAGCCCATCCTTCCTGTATAGGCTCCCCCTCTCCCAAAAGCTTCCCCAGTTCCTAATAAATCTAACCCCCTCCTCCCTACACCATCGTCTCATCCACACATTGAGACCCTGCAGTTCTGCCTGTCTAATTGGCCCTGCATGTGGAAATGGAAGCATTTAAGAGAATGCTACCATGGAGGTCCTGGACTTCAATCTCTTACCTAGCAGCCTAAATTTGGCCTCCAGGACCTCTCTCCTATCCTTCCCCATGTCGTTGGTACTTACATGTACCATGACCACCGGCTCCTCCCCAGCACTACACATAAGCCTATCTAGATATCTTGAGAGATCCGCAACCTTCGCACCAGGCAGGCAAGTCACCATGCGGTTCTCCCGATCATCACAAACCCAGCTATCTATGTTTCTAATGATCGAATCGCCCATTACTAATACCTGACTCTTCCTAATAACTGGAGTTCCCTCCCCTGGAGAAGTATCCTCAATGTGAGAGGATACCACAACATCATCTGGGAGGAGGGTCCCAACTATGGGATCGTTTCCCTCTGCTCCAGTTGGATGTTCTGCTTCCCTGAGGCTTTCATCCTCCTCAACAGCACAAAGGCTGTCAGACTCGGGGTGGGACCGTTCTACTGTGTCCCAAAAAGTCTCATCTATGTACCTCTCTGTCTCCTGTAGCTCCTCCAGCTCAGCCACCCTGGTCTCCAAAGTCCGTACACGGTCTCTGAGGGCCAGGATCTCCTTGCTCCGAGTGCACACATACGCCACCTGCCCATAGGGCAGTTAATCATACATGCCACATTGGGTGCAATAAACTGGGTAGCTCCCAATCTGTTGCTGGACTTCTGCTGCATTCTCTTTTTACTCCCGAAGCTTGTTCCCTTGTTGGTGCTTTGTTTTTATCAAGCGATGTTTTGACCTTTAAGTGCAAAGAATGTTAGGTGTATCTAGCCCCTGCTCACACTCCCCCTGTAAACTCCCTCGCCAAACTCCCCTGTTCACTAGCTCCTCTGGTCGCTTATTTTTTAAAGCCCTGCTCTGCCTGAGTAGCGCCGCCCCCTAGTTGAGGGTTGATTGGATGCCTCGTCAAGAAGCTCCTAGCTCTCAGCCTTGCCTAGCAGGCTGCTAGGCTCAGCACACACATGGTCAGCACACGGTCCCCCAAACAAACAGACCACACGGTATATTTCAGTCAAGCAACAAGCACACCACAAACACAAACACTACAGACAACAAACTTACCCCAAGGGATATTGATTTATCTTGAGTCAATTCCTTCTTGATTTAAGAGTGTCCACACAGGAATTTGCACTTGATGAACTAAACCAGTTTAACTAAACTGGAGCAAATTTGTGCATAGAAAAGCCCTATTATAATATCAGTTTTACTGTATATCAAATATTAATCTGGCCAGATTAACTGACCAACCACACTTGTGAACTCACATCTGATTATTAGTTTAATAGGAAATGGCTTTTGATAACAGTGTAATGAAGCTTTTGGTTCATTACTGGGCACTGTAGGATTATCACAAGTTCATTTATTTCTTCTGTAGATATGGGCTCTGCTCCTGCCATCTCAGTGGAGGGACATCAGGACGGAGGGATCCGGGTGGTGTGTCGATCATCCGGATGGTACCCACAGCCCAAGGCTCAGTGGAGAGATCTCCAGGGGAAGCTCTTTGCATCGGCCTCTGAAGAAATAACTCCAGAGGCCAATGGTCTGTTTCAAACAGAGATTGCCATTGTTCTAACAGAAGAGTCCAACCAGAAAATGTCCTGCTGTGTCAGGAACCCCCGACTCAACCAGGAGAGAGAGTCAGTGATTTCCATAGCAGGTCAGTGTCAGTCTGTGCCGCACATGGACAGACCGAGATGCTGGAGATGTGAGGGGACAGTATTTATCATTGTGTCTCCTATTTATTGGCCTGAACCTTCAAGGTGCTGAGCATGTCTTGTAAAGTCCTGAACAACCTCCGTTCTCTTTGGAGATGTCTACACTGCAGTTAGACACCTGCTGGTGGCCTGTACCAGCTGGCTCAGGCTGAGGGGCTCGGGCTAAGGGGCTGTTAAATGGCAGTGTAGATATTCAGCCTTGGGCTGGAGACCGGGCTCTAGGACCCCGTGAGGGTCCCAGAGCTCAAGCTTCAGCCTAAGTCCAACTACACTGCCATTAAACAGTCCCTTAGCCTGAGCCCAGTGCACCTGAGTTAGTTGGCAGGGGCCAGTCGCAGGTGTCTAATTGCAATATAGACTTACCCTTTGACTCACAGGGGCCGTCCTGCATAAAGTACATCTCAGTTATGTCATATCCATATCATAAGCATATTTTCATAAAGATTATGGAGTGTAACGTCACAACAGCAATCATCATTCTTCTCAGTAGGGGTGGGGGAGGGAATTCTCCTTTGTTCTTGTGGTGTGGTGAGGACTGTGTTGGAATTTCAAGCCATCACTTTGGGAGGGGCGTTTGCCAGGTCCTGTTCACAGACCGGAGGGCTCTGTAGAAAATCCTGCGAGTTCACAGAAACAGTCTGTGGCAAGCTGGGGCGTAAATCTGCCTCTCACTAGCCTGCCATATACTAACTGTCCATGTGGACCCGGCTACGTACACTAGTAATTCCGTAGTGTGCTTTGTTCTACCCTGTTTTGAAATGGGAACAGATCAAAATGCACCAGGGAACTTGTAGTTCACAGTTGCAGGGTGCACACAGCCAGTTAGTGCATAGCAGGCTAGTGCAAGGTGGATTTACATCCCAGGCTGCCACACACTAACTGTTCCTATAGACAAGCCAACGTAAAGCAAGGTGCCCACTGCCTTAGGGAGCAGCCTCCTCTCTGTGGTTTTAGTTCTTGTGTGTTATGGTTCTGGATTCTAAGAAGTAAAGTCCTGTTGGTGACATCCCCTAGGGTACAGTCTGGACTGTTGAACTGCTGTGTCCCTTTAACTGTCCAGCCCAGGGTGCCTTTTACACGGCTTTGCTAGTGAAATGCAGCCTCTCTGGGCTCTGCTCACACACAGCCATTAGCATGTAAAGTTACTCACAGCAAAGTTACATGAATGCTTTCCCAGCCACTTATGAACTACATAGGGTGACACTCGCAAATTCCCCAGCCTTGCACCCAGAAATGTGCATCCTGTAGTGACCAGCACACTACTGAACAATCTTTAATAGTCAGTCATTTCATCAACGGAAATGATTCTGCTGGAGTGTTTGTTAACCTGAGTAACACTTAAACCAAAACACACTGGTTTAGGTAAAACAATAAAATAAGTTTATTAACTAGAGAATGGTAGATTTTAAGTGATAATAAGTGATAAGGCATAAAGGTCAGAATTGGTTACAAAAGAAATAAAAAATGAAACCAAAAACTGATTCCTAAACTTTACCAAGCTAAACAACATTTGAAAGCAAAAAGGTTTCTCACACCCAAAAACTTACTGCAGTCCAAACTAACTGACAAGCCTTCCAGCTAGGACCAACTCTCCCCCCGCCCCCGTTCAATGCTGCTTCTACTGACTTTCAAGCAATCTTATTGCTGTGAGTAGAGATGGGGGAGGAGAGGCAAGGTGAAGATCACTGTCTATTATTTTATACCCTCCTCCTCTCTTCGAGGATTACTCTCCACTGGGGTGTAGACAAAACAGTCCCCTGTGTATGTGAGATTCAAAGAGTCTATCAGGAGAACTGTAAATTTCTTGTTCGCACCATCTGTGTACATGACGTGTGAGATGTCAGTGGGGATGATATGCAAATCTTTTTACAGTCCCCCTGATGGCGAATGGTTGCCTCAGCAGTTAATAGCTTCCCATCACCTGTCATCAGTTCTTTGTTGTCTCTGAGGAGCTAGTCTGTGGGCATTCCCCAGAATTATAACATATTTCACTAACAAACATAGTAAAATCTCATAGCTCCACATACAATGTTATCGTACACATTTAAACAGAAAAATGCTATTCAGTAAATTATGAATTTCAAATGATACTTCACAAGGCACACTTTGTACAAAATATATCATAACCATATAGCAGTGGTGAACATGGGGGTTCAGGGTTTTATATGGGGTGCCGTGTGTCACAGTGTTACAGAAAGCAAGGTGGGATGAATTGTGCCCGCTGCCTTAGAGACTCCATTGTGGGGTTCTTGTGGGTTAAGGTTCTGGATTCTAAGGAATAAAGTCACATTATGCTGCAACCTTCCAGCAAGAGTATTGATATCTGTGTCTAACTTCTCTGTGTGCTGTGACCATCGCAGTTCTCGGGGTGGGTGGGGGGGAGGGAATTCTCCTTTATTCTCACTGAGAGCTGCTGGGTGCTGACTGTTTGTGCAAATCTGGCTAATGAAGTCATTTTTCCTGACTAGCACAAGAGAGCCTTGGATATGGTCTCAGCGTTGCTACTTAGAGGACATCTGAAACTCCCACATCAATGTGAGAGCTGTGCTATGGGCCTTATCCTGCAGTTCAGACTCTGGCAAAATCCCATCACCTTAAATGAGAGTTTTGCCCAAGTCATAACTGAGGATCAGGTCATAACTTGTACTTAATTGCTCAGAAGGCAGTAATCACAGAGCTCCACAGTCAGCATTGGCCATGAATGTACATTGTGTTTTTTATTTCACAGCACACAATGGAACGGATCCTACCTTCCCTGCACAACCAGAGTTTTGGCAGTGCTAACAATAAAGGATCAGGCCCAAAACACGCAGAAACAAACTTTTAGCTAAAAAGCATCTTGATTTTTAGAAAAAAGGTTCATATTTTTCTGTATTATTATCTACCAAATAACTTTGTTAATACAGAATGTGTAGTTCATCACTATTGTCATAAACATACAGCTAAGGGTAGCCTAGAATTCCTTCTTAACCCCTTACAGGTAACAAGGAATTCTAGGCTACCTGTAGCTGTATGTTTATGACATGTCAAGGTTGCCTCCCCACTCTGAACTCTAGGGTACAGATGTGGGGACCTGCATGAAAGACCCCCTAAGCTTATTTCTACCAGCTTAGGTTAAAAACTTCCCCAAGGCACAAATCCTTCCTTGTCTTTGGATGGGTACTGCTGCCACCACCAAGTGAGTTAGACAAAGATTCAGGAAAAGGACCACTTGGAGTTCCTGTTCCCTAAAATATCCCCCCAATCCCCTTCACCCCCTTTCCTGGGGAGGCTTGAGAATAATATACCAACCAAATAGGTAAATCAGATTCTTAAAAAACAGAACTTTATTATAAAGAAAAAAAAGTAAAAGAAGCACCTCTGTAAAATCAGGATGGAAGGTAACTTTACAGGGTAATCAGATTCAAAACACAGAGGATTCTCCTCTAGGCAAAACTTTAAAGTTACAAAAAACAGGGATAAACCTCCCTCTAAGCATAGGGAAAATTCACAAGCTAAAAGCAAAACATAATCTAATGTGCCTTGCCTTATTTACTTACTCTTTTTGCAATATTGAGACTCATTTTAGGATGATTTTAGGAGAAGGAATTTTCTGACCTGATGCTTCTCTGCTTCCCCAGAGAACACACAACACAGAGCACAAACAAAGCCTCCCTCCCCCACCCCTGATTTGAAATTATCTTCTTTCCCCATTGGTCCTTTTGGTCAGGTGCCAACCAGGTTATTTGAGCTTCTTAACCCCTTATAGCTAAGGAGGAATTCTAGTCTACCCTTAGCTGTATGTTTATGACAACTATAATAATAACAATGTTGCATATGTTAATCACTATTCATCTGAGATCTCATAGTGCTGCACTGCTGATAAGCTTATGGTATGCCCGGTATCACATGATTGTTGTGTTCACAGCATACCCACAGAGAGTTAGAAACAAAACAAATACTCTTCCTGGAAGGTTACAATGTAATGCTGCTTTATTCCCCAAAATCCAGAACTCTAACACACAATAGCCAAATACAGAGAGAGACAAAGCAGGCTGCTCCCTGAGGCAGGGAGGCAGAACATAGCCCACCTGGCTCTGTGCAGAGTGACTGCAGAGGCCCCACATTGCATGCTCCTTACAGAGCCCCCTAGCGTGCAAGCAGCATCAGAAAACCCCTCAGGATTCAGAGTGGCAATTTGTGATTTCTACACAGTTTTCAATACACCACACTAATCACATAGCAAGGACCCTGTTGTCAGCATCGTTCCAGGGCCCAGGGAAGAGGAATCTGGAGGAATTTTTAATCTGACTCTCCAGGCTCAAGTTTTGTTTATATTAAAATCCTGCAATAACATCTTTTGGGCCAGACTCTCTCATGTGGCTGAGCCCCTCTGAACACAAGGGAGTTGGGGGTGTCAGGAAGCTAGTCACAACTCTCTGATTCTGAGGGTCAGTCTACACTGGCTGCAGCTTGGGGATCAGTTAGAGCAGCCTAGGAAATACCTGAATTTATGCCAGTGGGGGATAGATGTAACACAGCAGAGCTCCACCCTACCCCCTCCCTACCTCCAACACGCCCCCTCCCTTTTACGAACCATGATCAGTAAGAAGAATAAAGCCTGGACTTTCATTGACTTAATAATAAAGCACAAAGGAGCCACATCTCATGGTGCTTTTCCCCATGAGATTCTTTTAACTAATCACAGTGTCACCACTGTCACAGTGTCCTGCCTTCATTCTGCACGTGTTTGCTCCCAAGTCAATGGCACTTTCTCTTGCAGAGCCATTTTTCCCAAGGGTCAATCCCTTGAAAGTGGCTCTCTGGGTGATCCTGACTCTTCTGGCTGTTCTCATGGCCCTGGCTGGTTACTGCTTCTGGAGGCGAGACAGAGCAACAGGTGAAGTAACGAGAGAGGGGGCTTTGGGGTGAGGAGAGAGATAAAAATGAAAAACAAAAGTAAAGATACAGGGATTAAGCGGCTTTGATTCCATGTTCAGAAGAGTTTCAGGCAATGGGCGGCGGGAGAAGGGTGAACGATGGCTTCACAGTTGAGCTGAGAAGTGTCAAATGGCTTCACCCCTTCAACGTTCATTAAAGGATCCCAATCGAATGGGATTCTGAACTATTCCACGGGGATCAGCACCACTTACATTGAAACACCCATGTGGGGCTCAGTGAGCTGGGCTTGGAGCGCTGACATTTGTAACTTGGCAAGAAAAAACTAACAGAAAGTAGGAGGAGAGAGGGGATTTCTTCGGTTCCAGTTCTGCCCCCGTCCCAGTCTGTGCATGCCCCTTCCCCTCCCCATCTAGATGAGTAGGAGCTGCAAATGGGAAAGTAGTGATAATGGAGAGGTTAGCAATTACCTTATCTACTGTGTGGTCATGCACCAGCGCTCAGAGAGAGCTCTCCCTGCGCGCTCCCCGAAAACCACTCCACGAGGGGCGGGGCGTAGCTCCCAGTGCTGGGAGCCTGTCTACACTGGCAAGTTACTGCGCTGAAACTTGCTGCGTTCAGCCGGAGGGTGGATCTACACTGCACACTTCTATCGGTATAACTACATCCCACGCTCGGGGGTGTGGGAAATCCTGACCCATGAGCAACTCAGTGATACCAACCTAGCTCTCGGGGAGGTGGAGTACCTACCCCAATGGAAGAGGCTCTCCTGTCAGTGTAGGTAACATCTCCACTAAGCACTCCAGCGGCGCATCTGCACGGTGCAGCTGCAATGCTGTAGGTGTAGACAAGCCCTGAGATCCTGCTACAGGGACAGGGCAATAAACTCTCTATTGTAGTACAAGCGCTCAGCTGTAGGTTTTCCTCTGATCACAAGGGGCAGAAATTGGCCTTCAGTGATCTGGGCATTTCTAGCAATGCTGGGGTTTTCAAAGCTGCCTAAGGGATCTGAATACTCAATTTTTGTTTAATGGGCACTGAGTGTGCAAACCCCCAAGGCAGCTGTGAAAGTCCCAGCCAGGGTTTTCTCGCCTGAAGTGCTGTGTGGGAATTTACAAGTATCTGAAGAATTGGGAAGGGGAAATATCTGTTACAACCATTTCCCACTGAGGACGGAAGCAGGTAATTCAGAGAAGCAGAAAGGAGCTGTGCTTTGTACTTGTGAAAGCTGGAACTGGGTGTTGTACCTTTACAACTGTCACCAGTAAGCCTTCTGCCTGTTGGAACTGGCAGCAACAAGGGCCGAGTTCAATATCTAGGGGTTTCCCTTCAACAACACAACACAAAACCAGCTTGAGCCCCCACCCAGTAACCTGGGACAATTATATACCATGCTCTGGGTGTCTTTAAGAGGCAATACTTTCTCTCTTGCAAGCACAAAGTCTCAGTGTAGAAAGAAACTTAATAAAAGGTGGGAAATAACCCAGCATTAATTTGGGAATACACCACAAACAGAGTTCATAAACATAAACAATGAGCCAAAGACTCAAGCAGTGTCCTTTTCCCCTCAGGTTCTTCAGTCCAGCAACCAAATGTCCCTTTAACATGCCCATCCCTTCTCTGCACCCCACTCACAGTTGTTGTTGTGGATCAGTGCAGACCCAGAGTCCAGAGGTGCATCTGCAGAGTTCACCTCCCACCCTGGGTGGAGAGGGAGTAAGCAGGCATATTAGTAGCTCTGCTGCCCAAGCAATTGCTTGCCACTCCTCGTCGCCAGCCACCGTGCTGGCTGATCACTGTGCCTCTTCACCAGCTACCCTGACAGACAATTGGCCCTCTGCTTCTCTTCCCCAGCCACCCTGCTGGCCAATTGCTATACCAATCCACCAGGATGTTTTCAGGTCCCCCCACACTTAGCACAACTCTCATGATTTCAGCTGTTAGAGTGTGGGAGCCTCACTGGCTGGTGCACACTAGGCAATCTCTTACATCAGAGACACTGTCTCAAAGCAGGTCTAACAGTTAGACCTAAATATCAGTGATTTCAGCTCTGGGGTGTATAATAAAACTCTCAATTGACTCCAAATTAACTTTGTTATTACACAGCAGACATAAAGGATCAAATAGCTGGCTGGCCAGCCTCACTAGGCTTTGGAGCCCATGTCCACTGCCTAGCGAGTGCCATTTAGTTGAGGGTGAGTCCTTCAATCAGTTATGCCACGTACAGTTCTGCTGCCCTTGATTCACACACCAAAGATAACAACCCTTTATTACTCCTGCCCCAATAACAAGGAGATGTGGGATCCCACATAGAATCATAGAATCTCAGGGTTGGAAGGGACCTCAGAAGGTCATCTAGTCCAACCCCCTGTTCAAAGCAGGACCAATCCCCAACTAAATCAGTCAGCCAAAAGTGATCATTTGGGCAAGCAATCCCATCATGTTGAGCACCTAGGCAGGGTGGGTGTGGAGGGCAGAGAGGCCCTGTGACCAGAATATATGGGGCTGCCCTTGCCGTCGCCCTCAAGGCAGTGAGGCCCCATGGCCAGAGTCAATATGGCTGCCCCTATCCTCAGGGCAGCGAGGCCTAGCAGCGAAAGTCAATCAATCTGGGGCTTTAACACCCAGTGGCTCTAGCTTCCAGTAGCAGTGCCCAATAGTCACCATCTCAGACAGTAGCACCCAATCCCTGGGGTGGCCCCTGCACCCAGTGGTAGGCGCGGGAAGGGGTAGGGGGACCCAGATCCACCCTGCTCCACTGGGTCCCAACCCAGGGCCCTATGAAACCAGTAGCCCTGGTTTCAGATTCAGGTTCCAACCTCAACAAATAATCTTCCTGGGCTGCTTCCCACCCATGATTCCAGTGATGGCATTTCCTCCACCACCAGCAGCTGTCTGTCTTCCTCTGTCTCCGCAGTCAACCGGGGTCCTGCCGTGGGCTCGGTGTGTTCAGCTGCCACAGTCTGCAGCTCTAGCAGCTTCCTGGCAGGAGCTCAGAGTGTGCGTATGCTCTCTTCCGCTGTTAGCTCAGGCTGGGTTGAACTGCTCCCTTGTATATCCAGCATCCAGTTGGAGCGTGTCCAGGAGGGGCGAGGATGCATGGCCTCTTGCACCCATAGGCTGTGTACAACCCTTGTTGGGCCAGTGCAGGGTTGATAGGCCCCATCACACAGGGATTCACTCATTTTCAGTCATATGTAAAATTTGTCTGTGTCCAGAGAAAGCTATGTGGGGCTCATTTCCAAGCACTAAAAAAATCAGAAAATTAACTGTCACTGTCTTGTTCCCGGGGCCTTTCAGAGAATTCTCCGCACTAGCTGCCCTGGTGAGCTGTGGCTAGGATGCTGTAATAACACAAACACACTCAGGACTTGCACAGCTGATCTGAGATGCTGCTCACACTGGGTCACAAGATGGTCTCGCTCAGGCTGTGCTCAGCAGTGACTGGCAGACATGACGCTGCCTCAATTTCCAGCAGTGTTGTTACCTCAGGGCTGATGCACCAAGTGGATGAGCTCCAAGTAGGAAAGAGCTGATCTTAGAGGTGATGCCTGTAGGGGCCCATCCACACACCCCTCCCTAGCTCATGCTGACCCAAGCATCCAGCTAAAGAAAAGACCCCTCCACACGATTCTTAGCTGGGGCACCCCATCTACCCAGGCCCTAGAAGGAGCTTTTCCCAGATATCACTAGGATCAGGGAATAGGCATGACCCTAGTGATACATGGCCAGCAGTTGACCTATGATGGAGCCAATCAGACCCTGTCCCTTAACCAGCTCAGGTCAATGCCCCATTCCCATCCTTCACTTTCCTCCCCCATCCCCACAGTCAGGAGCTGGGGAGAGCTGGGGCCGCCCAGGGGATGGGCACAGAGGGGAGCAGACAGGGAACTGGATAAAAAAAGAGACCTTCTCTCCTCTCCCCCGCAACAGTCAGATCAGACGGGAGTGCGACGAGGCCCAGGAAGCGGGGATGGCTCCTAGGGGAGACACTTAGAGCAGCTCCTAGAGGTGATGGTCAGTGGGGGAGGGAAGTGAGGGATGGTCAGTGCAGGAATGTTGAGACAGATCTGTCTTTGTGTCCTGTCAGTCTGTCTGCCTCACTTTCATAGTTACAGCACAATTATATTAATATCTGGAACTGCACCATAAACATGATGGTGAAATCTCACCTCTCGCCCTTTTCTCCCTCTAGAGATTCTGCGATCTGATATGGAGAGCGAGAAAGGTCAGTGTTTGGATCCCATTACACTAGCTGACAGTAGAGTTATCCCCATAAACACAACAGGGTGAAATCTCGCCATTATTAATTAATGATTGGAACAATTTCCCAAGGGCCGTGGTGGATTCTCCAGCACTGGCAGTTTGTAAATCAAGATTGGATGTTTTTCTAAACAATCTGCTGTAGAAATTATTGTGGGGAAGCCCCCTGGCTTGTGTTATGCAGAGGTCAGACTAGGTGATCACAATGGTCCCTTCTGGCCTTGGAATCTGTGAATTGATGAATCACCTCTCGCCCTGTTCTCTCTCTAGAGACTTTGCTGTCTGAACGGGAAGGAGAGAAAGGTCAGTGTCTGGGCCAGTTACAAAATTAACATTATCCCCATTAAGACTACAGGGGGAAGTCTCACCTCTCCCTCTTTTCTCCCTCTAGAGGCTCTGCGATCTGAGATGAAGAGGCAGAAAGGTCAGTGTCTGGGACCAATGGGATGTGTTGAAGATTTCATGTCAAGTCAGTCAAGTCAGCTTAGTCCAGCCAACTTGACTCAATTGAAAGCCACATTTACTGCCGGTGGAGTCACAGTTTAACACCTTTAGCTCAATTTTAGCAAGTGGAGTTACAGCCTGTTTGAATGAGGGACAAGGAATGTCTCCATATTGGCACCAGAGCCCCAAGCAGGGAGCTCAGGGCTGCTCACACCGACACAAAGAGGCTCTGAAGGGTGAAGGGCCCATTTGTCCTAATAAACCCCATGGAAATTACAGAAATGGCACCTTGAGCCCAGGGCCCTGAATACAACAGCCCAACTTGGTCAGTCTCATTGCTGGAGACTGTGGGTACATATACAGTGCAAAAACCCACCTGTGGCTGCGAGTCTCAGAGCCTGGGTCAACTGACTGGGGCTTGTGCTGCAGGGCTAAATCTAGCAGTGTAGCCGTTCCCACTGGGACTGGAGCCCAGGCTCTGAGACTCTCCCCCATCACTGGGTTTCAGAACCCAGGTGCCAGCCCAAGCAGAAACTTCTACACTGATATTTTCAGCCCTGTAGTGCGAATGCTGCAAGCCCGAGTCAGTTTGCCCCAGGCTCAGACCCACTGACACAAGGTTTTCTGCAATGTAGATGAACCCGGAAAGACTTGTCCAGTGTTTGACAGGATCCCTCACCCGGGAACCCCCTGTGTTCTGACCCTTCTGTGCCCATGTAATATGGGGGGGGGGAGGGATTTTACCCTCAGTAACCACGCACACCCACAACCTCAGCTCCACCCTGCAGTGACTCCATACAATAACCATACAGGTCTGATCAGTGCAGAGCAGTGTGTGTGGTTCTACATTAAATGAAACTGATTTTTAAAGGCACACAATGTTTTTCAGTTTTCCCCTCGTGATCTTACTACAGGGCAGAGTTAAGGTTGTTTAGATGCCTTAGCTGCATTTCTAGACCATAGATTTCTTTTATAATTTAACCATAATTTGTATTTCCTGGGTGTATAACACTTGGTTTGGGAATAATTAAAAGATTCCTCCTGTAATGTGTTTTACCCTAAGTTACAAGTATGTTCTCTCAGCCTTAGCTCCACATTAATGTAGTTTTTATCTGGGAATTGCACTGTGTATTACGGCCCGGATCTACAAAGAAACCCCAGACATAAGCCTCTCAATCCTAGTTTTAGGCACCATGGTCCACAAAACCCCACTTGGTTGAAACCCAACCCTGTAGGCACCTAAACTCACTCGGGGCATTAATCTCTGGTGTAAACATTCGCTCAGTGTCTAAGTTTCTGCCTCTGGGCACATGGAGCACACAGGTGCCCCGATATCTACAGCAAGGCAACCATCTCCCACCTGTGCCCCTGGAGACACATAAACTGAGGGGAGGAGCATCTAGCTCACTTGTGGGGCCTGATCCAGTAGATGTGCTCAGAGGCTACCCACCACCACACAGAACGAGGTGGGAAAGGGAGAGGTTGTGAGCCTCCTTTGTAACATTTAGCCCAGGGGTTAGGGTACCCACCTGGGCTGTGGGAGACTCTGGTTCAAGTCCCACATATCTGCCAGATAAGGAGAAGGCATTTAAACAAGTATCTTCTACCTCTCAGGAGAATGCTCTAATCACTGGGCTATGGGACATTCTGATGTGAAGCTCCCTTTGTCTCTTTTCAGAGTAACAGCCGTGTTAGTCTGTATTCGCAAAAAGAAAAGGAGTACTTGTGGCACCTTAGAGACTAACCAATTTATTTGAGCATAAGCTTTTGTGAGCTACAGCTCACTTCTGCATCCGATGAAGTGAGCTGTAGCTCACAAAAGCTTATGCTCAAATAAATTGGTTAGTCTCTAAGGTGCCACAAGTCCTCCTTTTCTTTTTGTCTCTTTTGTTACACTTTAATTAAACATTAACTCAGAATCACTCTATAACACCTCTCTACCCTTCGGCCATCTTGCGTGGCGCGTGGCCAGTGCCTTCCTCTGTCTCTCAGACACACAGAGATGCCTAATTTGCCTGGTTCCAGAAGAGGGGCTCCTGGCTGTGGATCACTAGCAGAGAGAGGCACCAAATTCAGGAGAGGGGTGGGGCTTAGAACATACCCCTCTTGTCGGCCTCTCCCATTGGCTGGCTTACATGGCTTCTAACACACTAGGTTCTGTGGATCCCATTCTAAGTCGCCTGCTTCTCCCCATTCAGTGTATCGGGAGCTCTGAGATGCCTTTGGGGTTACACGAGTTCTAAATCGCTGCAACCTGCTCACAGTGTGAGAACCTTGTCTGTGCCCACCCAGGGAAACTCTCCCAAAGCTACTGGCTACAGGCAACACGAGGTGCTGTGCTCCGGGCTCCATGAGCCCCACTGTGTCTCTCTGCAGGCTAGCAATTCACACCCCGGCTTTGTTACACCCCTTTGCCCAGTCCCCTGTCTCCTCCTGGACACCAGCAATGCACCCCCGCTTACTGGCTTCACCTTGGTTCAACACACTCCTTTGCACCAGGCACTTAGACAATTCTACAGTAAAACAAAACTGAAGTTTAATTAATAGAGCCTAAGACAGACTCAACTAAAAGCAAGTGTAGATTTGGAAACATAAAGTTACAGGTATAAGAAACACAATCTATAGCCTATACTTGTTCGCAGGTTATCCTGTCTAACAGGGTATTTCTCACCCACTGGACAGTTCTATTCACAGTGGCTGCGAGAAGGCTGGTGCAGGGAATGGAGTTACAAATTTCCAACCTTTCACACAGTGAGGCTGAGGTTTTCGAAGCTGCCTCAGAGATCTGGATGCCCATCCAAATTCCTGTTTAAAACCTTGTTAAAACTTTGTTTTCATGTTTTTGTTACAATCAGACATGATCAGGGCTCTTTTCCCTGTCCTAGGATGTCCTGCAGGTGTCTTCCTGCTCCCTGAAGCTCTCCTTAGCTGAGGGACTTGCTGGCCAGGCTTTTGTGAGGACAAGGCGATCTTTAAGCCGTCACCTGATCCCTGGTCTCAACATCAGCTGATTAGTCACAGGGTGGGGCTGGGCCCAACTCCCCTTAAAAGACCAGACACCCTGTGACACTTAGTCTCACCCATCTTCACACTTTCCATCCCCAACCCCAGTTCCCTCTCTACTTATTGTCCCTTCTGCCTTCCATCTCTAAGCTCAGTGAACACTCTGTCTACAATCGCTGTCTGGAGTTCCTCTCCTCCAATTCCATCCTAGACCTGCTCCAATCCAGCCTCTGTCCCCTGCACTCCCCTGAAACCGCTCTCGCCAAAGTTTCTAATGACCTTCCTGGCCAGCTCCTATGGCTTCTATGTGATCCTCATTCTCCTTGCGCTAGCTTCATGCTCCTGCTTCTGACACCACTGACCAGACCACTCGTCTCCATTAAATCCTTGGCTTTCACAGCTCCCTCCTCTCCTAGTTCTCTTCCTGCCTTTCTAATCACTTCTTCGGTGTCTGTTTTGTTGGGTTGGTCTCTTCCTGTCTCCCTCTTTCAGAGAACATCCCTCCCCCAGAGCCCAGTGCTTGGCCCCCTGCTCTCCTTTCTCCACACCCTGCCTCTAGTAGCTCCTATCTACACACATGACTTCAGATACCACCTCTGTGCCAATGTCTCTCAAACTGTTTCTCCACTAAAGACTGTTCCCACATCTCAACCTATCGGACATCTCCTCATCAATGTCCAGAGGGCAACTTAGGTTCAACAGCTGAGTGTTTAATCTCTTCTGTACCCCTCAGAGCCCTCCTCACTTCCTAGTTTCTCCATCTCTTTGGATAACACCATGAGCCCTCCCAGAGGCAGGGGGCTGGGGCTGCCCTCCCTCCCTCCCTCCCTCCCTCCCATCCTGCCCACTGGTCTGCCCCGAGCTAGGTACCAGGATCTCTGCCCCTCCTGTGGTCCAGAGATTGTAGCCCTGAGGTGGGGTGTGAGGCTTGAGCTGACTGGAAGGAGCCCAGAGTGGAGTGGGAGGCCTGGGGTCTGAGCCCTGCTCGAGATGGCTCCTTATGGGAGGGGACCGGGGCTATTTCCCCTGCCCTGGCTGGGAGAACCACTCCATGATGTTGGCCTGAGTTGGGAGTTGAGTGGGAGGGGCAGAAAAAAACTGTCCGGTATTTTTGAAATACAGTGTTGGCCACCCTAACAACACCTCCATCTGCCCAGTCACTCAGGCCAGAAATCTGGGCATCGTCTCTGACTCAGCCTCTCGCTGGGCCCGCACGTCCTGACCTCACCCCAGTCTCCCTGCTCCTGCCTGTATAACACGTCACAGATACAGCCTCTTGTGTCCGTCTCAACAGCCCAGACTCTTGTTCATCTCACACCTCCACTGCTGTGATCGCCTCCTGTCCGGCCTTCATGCCAGCCGCTTTGTCCCCTCAGCTGCATCCAAAGCACGGCTGCTAGGCTCAGCCCTCAGGCTCGTCTCTCCTACCACATCCTCCACGTAGTTCCACTGAGGCCCCCTCCAGCACAAGCTCCTTGTCTTTGCCTTTAGGTCCCTCACCAGTTAGTCCCACCCTGTCTGAGCAATTGGCGCCACCTTCCCTCTGCCAGCGATGGCAGCCTGCAGGGCCGGTTCTAGGGGTGGGCGCATGGGGCCGGGTCACCCTCGGCACCACTTCCAGGGGGAGCTGTACTGCTGCTGGGCTTTTTTTTTTTTTTTCTCCTGGCAGCCTAGGTAGGGTGACCAGGTAGCAAGCGTGAAAAATAAGGACTTTTTTTTTTTGCGGTAGGGTGTATAGTTGCATATATAAAACAAAGCCCCTCATATTGGGACGGTCCTGATAATATTGGGATGTCTGGTCACCCTCAGCCTGGGTCACCCGCCTGTCTGCTTCTTCCTTAAAAACCTCAGTGTTTTCTCCGCCTCCCTTTCCATGTACAGAAAAACACCCCCTCAGTATTAGTAAAGCTGCCCCCTTCTCCTCTCTTTAATCCCTCCTCCAAACCCAGCTGTGCTGTGGCCCCTGGAATCTCTCCTGGCTGGCATTGGGCACCTGGTGAGCTGGGCTTTGGTTTGTTTTTATCATTATCAACCCCTCCCAACCCCTTCACCCCACTTGTCTATTTCATCCCCCTGTTGTACCCTGTCTGCCATGCAGAAGGTGAGCTCCCTGGGCCAGGGACTGTCGCTTTGTTAGATGCAGTTTGTGTGGACAGAAGGGGGACAGTGGGTGCGTATGGGAGCCATAGAAGAGGCTGTGGTTTTAGTCATGGCAGGATATAATGAGGGCCTGAGAGAGAGATTGTGCTGCAAGGATGGAGAGAAAAGGGCAGATTCTGGAGATAACACCCAAGAAGCAGCAGCAGTGTTTGGAAATGGCCTGGGCGTGCAGAGGGAGGAACCAAAAATAACCACAAGGTTGTGGGCACTGAGATTTGGCCAGGGTGATCACTAGGGACCCCAGTGAGAGTGGAGTGGGAAAAGTCAGACTGGAAGGGATCTAGGACAGCTGGAGACACAAGCATTGTTTGCAGACTGGGTTCACTGAGTTCAGAGACAAAAGGGAGGAGGGAGATGGGGCAGCAGTTAGAGGGTTGGGTGGGGAAAAGGCGGTTTGTGGATAAAGTTAGACCAGGGCATAAATATTTGCAGGGTCAGGCCCCAAGACTGTAAACTCTTTGGAGTAGGGATTATGTCTCTTATAGTCTGGCGTGCGTGCACAGGTCTAGTGCTGTGGGCAGGGCCTTTAGCGGCTGTAGCCCAGGGCCCGGGGCTAAGCGTGGGTGGGGGGGCCGGGCTGCAGCCACTAAAGCTCCTCAGTGTTGCATTCTTGGCCAGCTGTGCCTGGCGGGGGGTGGGGGGAAGTGGCTCCGTGCACTGCTGACCCTTTCCTCCCCCACCTGCCCCGGGCTAGAGCCCTGTCCCCGCCCCGAAGCAAGCGGGAGCGCCAGGTAAGCGCCCCGCATGTCAGCCCTCTCCTACGCCCTACCGCCCTCACAGGCCCCGCACTCCCACCCCCCGAGCCTGCTCCTGCACCCTACATCCCTTCCTCCCTCCCAGACCCCGTACCCCCACCCAGCTCCTACACCCTCCCTCCCAGACCCCACACTCCCACCCCTCAGCCTGCTTCTGCACCCTCCCTCCCTCCCAGACCTTGCATCCCCCCAGCCCACTCCTGCACCCTCTCTCCCTCCCAGAGCCTCCAGCCCCAGCCTTCTCCTGCACCTTACCTGCCGCCCAGACCGCTCCCCGGCAGCTGCCTCCCACACACTGAACCCTGCATTTTTGGCCCAACCCTGGAGCCTAGGGGGCCCCACAAAATCAACTAGCCCCAGGCCCCCAGAAGAGTTAATCCAGCCCTGGCTGTGGGGCCTGGCCCTGAGTGTGTGCGTAAAGGACCCAGCTCAGCGGGGCCCAGCCCTGAGTGCGTGTGTGTACAGGACCTAGCGCAGTGGGGCCCAGCCTGGAGTGTGTGCGTACAGGACCTAGCGCAGTGGGGCCCAGCCTGGAGTGTGTGCGTACAGGACCTAGCGCAGTGGGGCCCAGCTCTGAGTGTGACTTCTAGGTGCAACTGGAGTGCAAATAACAATGTGGAGTGGGGCAGAAGACTGGCCATGGGATATGCAGGTATGGCATCAGGTGGGGCTTAAAGGTAGCCAGCCCTCCAGGATTGGCCTGGAGTCTCCAGGAATTAAAGATCAATCTTTAATTAAAGATTGTCATGTGATGACATCTCCAGGAATACATCCAACCAAAATTGGCAACCCCACTTAAAGGCGTGTCCGTCGGTGCAGAGGACCAGGGATGAAGAGAGGCAGGTGGGGAGGGTTTCGGGGATCAATATGGGAGGGACAGGGAGTAGTGATGTAGAGCCAGGAAGCTCTGCTCTCTGGTCCAGGTTTACCTGTGCAGTGTTTGAGGTGTATAACATCGTACATGTAACAGCTGCAGTAGGGCAGGTTGGGTCCCTGCCTCCATAAGAAGCCGGCTCCTGTGCTGTGCTCTGCTTAGCATCTTATGGACAAATCTTGCAAAACATTCGTATCAGCAGTGAGGGAGATGTTGGTTTTCGCTTGACTATTTCCCATTAAGTTTTGAGACTCAACGTTAACTCAGGATGTCTTTGACTTTCCAGGGGAATACGAGGCAGTGAAAGGTATGTGTGTTTTTACTAGTTTTGATTATGCTTTAAATTGGAAAAGGAACACTCAGAGCTGCGTGTGCAAAGATGTGTTAGTGTAAAAAATTAATGTGTTACAGGTAAGGTACACGACAAGGGGATATCCAGATATTACCCAGACATAATGGATGGAAAATTTGTGGTATTGAAATATGAATATTAACTACAGTTGCCAATGGCACAATACCATACACCCTTGCCCCGCCTCTGCCCCTTGGCCCTGCGCCTTCTCTGAGGCCCCACCCCCACTCACTCCATCCCTCCTCCCTCTGTCGCTCGTTTTCCCCTACCCTCACTCATTTTCACTGGGCTGGGGCAAGGGTTTGGGGTGCAGTAGGGGGTGATGGCTCTGGCTGGGGGTGCAGGCTTTGGGGTGGGAGCAGAAATGAGGGGTTCAGGGTGTGGGAAGGGGCTCTGGGCTGGGGCAGGGGTGCAGAAGGGGGTGAAGGCTCCAGCTGGGGGTGCAGGCTCTGGGGTAGGGCCAGGGATGAGGGGTTTGGGGTGCAGGAAGAGGTCCGGGCTGGAGCCGAGGGGTTTGAAGTGTGGAAGTGGGCTCAAGGCTGGAGCAGGGATTTGGGATGCAGGAGGGGGTGTCGGCTCCAAGAGGGAGTTTGGGTGCCGGTGGGAGCTCAGGTCTGGGGCAGGGGTTTGGGCTCTGAGAGGGAGTTAGGGTGCAGGAGAGGGTTCTAGCCAGGGGTTGGGGTGCTGGAGAGGGTTTGGGGTGCGGGCTCCAACCTGATGTGGCACTTACCTCAGGCGGCTCCCAGTCAGTGGGGCTGCCTGCCTGCCCGCCCTGGCTCTGCATAGCTCCTGGAAGCAGCCAGCATGTCCGGCTTCTAGGCGCAGGGTCGGCCAGGTACCTCAGCGCCCGCAGGCAGTGCCCCCGCAGCTCAAATTGGCCCTGGTTCCCGGACAGGGAGCCTGCCTTAGCCCCGCTGCACTGCTGACTGGACTTTTAACGGCCCGGTCAGCAGCGTCACCAGGGTCCCTATTCGACCAGGTGTTCCAGTCAAAAACCGGACACCAGGCAACCCTAATATTAACAGTTTTATTTTTCACATTAACCCTTGGAAATAGAGTCTTAAACACAAACAAACAAACTTCACTTACTGACACCAGAGACACCCTGTAACGAGAACAATAATTATTTTACATGAATAGGGCCCACCCTGTGAACTCTCCATGGATGTACTCCCACACACAGAGGTTTCCTTGGAGCAGGATCATCCCTATTGGTTCCACACACAGCAGCTGTAGGATCAGGCACATGGGTCTGATCACACTGAAGCCGGCAGGAGTTGTGGGAGCTCAGCACCCCTTGGGGTCACCAGCATCATCCAGGGGATGAAGACACTTACGAAGGAAGAGTTCTTTGAGCTGCAGGCCCAGGTTCTCTGCTGTGCCAGGACTTGCTCGAGGTGGGGGGTGGGGGCAGGGCAGGAGCTGGTTATGGCTCCCTGGTTCTCAGGCTGCCCCAGGAGCTGTTCTGATTCACTCCAGCTGGCTGTGGTCCCTGAGAATTGGTGATGTGCCCTGCCCTGCTCCAGCACACACACCCGAGCCCCTCATTTCCAGCCCTGACATGCCCCCTACACCAGGGTGAGGGGGACAATTGGCACAGGAGCCAGTTACACTGTTTTACCCCAGCTGGGCTCTCCCTATGCCAGGGGAATTCTCTGATGTCCAGGGCCTGGTCCCAGCCAGTCTGCACCATCCCAGCACACAGTGACTGGAGCAAGGAGAGAACCGGGCCCTTTATCTGCCCCCATGACTCACATGAGTGATCCCCATAGGTGCAGCCCCATTGATTTCTTGGGGGAGGTTTTGCAGGATCAGGTGCGATAAAGGAGAAGCCCTAACTACTGATTAGGAGCCCAATCCTGCTGTCCTTACTCAGGCAAAATTCCCACTGAGGCCAATGTAATGTGGGTTTAGAACTGGGCACTTTTGTTACTGAGAATCTCTCCTATTGATTCATTTATGTTCTTTTTTCCCTTTTCTCCCCTCTCATTCCCATGGACCCTCTGGCAGAACTGGGTAAGCTCCATGTCGTTTGTTTTTCACAGCGTGTGACTTGTTGAGTCTGCGACTTGCTGAGTCTGCATTTCGTTGGTGTAAATTCTCATGTCTGATTATTTCAGGACTCGCCAGAGCCCGAGGATACGCAGGTAACTAACACTGATACTGCTGCAGTCGCTCTCCGACCCATTCCCCTGGGATACTCAGTCGCTGCTCAGTCCTCTTACAGCTCTCACAGTAACTAAGGGGTGGGGCAAATGTCATTGTCCATGTAAAAGTTAGAGAGAGAGAATACCCAGCCCCCGCACACACATACCCACCCTGCTGTGAGGGGGAAGCTGGTGCCACAGGCAATTGTTTAACTCCTCTCTATAGCTATGTTATAGCCTCTAGTCAATTAATTATTTATTTCACTGCTCACCATTTTTTGGCAGAAACATCCAGTCGATGAGCTTATCCAACCCTGCTGGATGCAGTGGCAGAGCGTGGGTGGAGGGCAGAGGGGCAGCTGGTGGCTCTAGAAGGGTTTCTGGGGTGAGGAACAAGGCATTCAAACCTCCTCTCCCCACACTGAGGGCTTGTCGGCTTAGGGAATTCACAGAGAAGATCCCAGCATGCAGGGGTGGAAGAAATTTAAAGGATTTACCGGTACACTGGAGTCCTCAGTGGGGGCGTGGCCTCAATGGGAAGAGGCGTGGCCTCAACCAGAAGAGGTGTGGCCTTTAAAGAGGCCGAGGTGGCTGGGAGCTCAGGGGCGATGTAAAGGGCTCGGGGCTCCAGCCACTGCTACCACAGCGGAGCCCCAGGCCCTTTAAATCACCACCGGAGCCCTACCACCGCTACCCCATTGCTCCGGCAGCAGGGCTCAGGAGGCAATTGAAAGGGCCCGGGGCTCTGGCCACTGCAGGGAGCCCTGGGCCCTTTAAATTGCCAGCCTGGGGAAGCCGTACTGGACCGGACCGGCTTACTTTCACTTCTGCCAGCATGGCTAGTGTGGAATCGCTGTTCTGCACCATAATAGTGAGGGTTTGAATTTAAAGCTATTCCACGCTAACTCCCCGTGTGGACACTATTATTCTGTACTCAGTCTGCAGCAGGGAGTGAGGGCAATCCGTTCCAATGTGGATTAACCCAAAGCAGACAAGGGCACTCTTAGCATGGAATAAGTGTCTCCACACAGGCACTCAGTGCTGACTAGCTGTTCTGCACTAGCTACTCAGGGCTTTTCCTTGTGTAGATAAACCCTTAAAATTACTTCCAAGGGAAAAAAGGAGAAGCATCCCCTCCCCTGGACCACAAGCCCTGACTGTCCCTTGCTTGGCTGTCCACACTCCAGTTCCCCATGACAACTCCACGCCCCAGGTGCAGGCTTCAACAGGAACATCTGCAGCACCTGGGAAATCTGAGGGCAGCATAAAACAAACAGAATTTCTTATTGAGTTAAAGGCCAGATTCTACCACCCTGGCATAATGGGACTCATGGAGCTACCCAGTGTGAGTCAGTGTGGCACAATCTAACCCTAAACACACTGATATTATTTGCAGTGCAGAACTGCCTGGAGCTTCCAGCCATGCTCAGTGCCCTGGTGCTGGGAGCTGTAAAACACATAACAGACCATCCCTGCCCCAAAGAGCTTCCAGTCTGAATAGACCAGATGGACACAGGGTGGGGGAAGGAAGGATGATTATCATGGGTGGCACGTGAGCCCCTCTTCGGGGAAGCTAGCCATGTGGCTCAGCTCCTTCTGCCCAAGGCCCCGTCCCTCACAACACCCATCTGCTGGAGCCCCAAATGTCCACTCCCCCTTGTCAACCAGCTCCCTGAGTGCACCTCAGGAGCCAGAGGAGTCCTGGACAAACTGGCCTGAGCCACTGGCCAGCACCAGCACCGTACCGCCCTCAGTGCCAGGTCGCCAGCTGGCCTCAGCACCACCCCCAGCTCTGTGCCATTAGCTCCCGCCGGCTTGGGCAATGGCTTGGGGGAGAGGGCGGAACATGGGCGGGGCCAGAGCCTGGCCTATTTTACCCACTGCCCATGACAATTATCCCCATTGCACAGCTGGGGAACTGAAACACAGAGAGACTCAGTGACTTGCCCAAGGTCACACGGGCAGCCTGTGGTGAAGCTGGGCCTAGATCTGTTGGTTCCTAGGACAGCACTTTAACCATGGAGGGAGTTTGTTCTGGGTATAGGGGGAGCTGGTGGGAGAAGGAACAAAGTGAGCATGAGGGTGAGTGGGGCTGGTAGTGGGGGAGCAGCAGGGGGTGAGAGGTGAGCAAGGCAGAGCCTGGGAGGGGAGGACAAGGAGTGGAGGGGATGGCAGTGGGTGGGAGGCATCCAGGGTGGTGAGGAGGAGGAGTTGGATGGCAACGATCAGAACAGAATTGCAGAGCAAGGCGAGAGTCAGGAAGGCCAGATGCTCTTTCCAGACACCAACCTAGGCTCTGGTTCGTTTCATCCCTGCTCCCCTCGCCACCTCTGCTCCCCTCCCCCCTTGCTGCCCCCAGCCCTGTGCAGTCTGTGTCCATTGAACCTGGTCACAGATGGGTCTGGGCCATTTCATGTCCCTGAGCCTGTACGGATCCCAAGCCTCCCATCATCACCCCCTTCTCACATCCCCCTCCCACACTCCCTCAGCTGGCTCAGGGTGGCCTTGCAAACACCCCACCTCAGTTTACCCTCTTCACACTCCTTACATTACTCCACACAGCCCAAAAGGTCAGAGACAAAAGTCCCCTGCTGAGGTCTGTTTTCAGTCCACATAAACCCCAAAATAAAATCTTTTCCTTTGCTCTGCTCCAGCCCTGACTCTCACTCCAGCTCCTCACTCTCCTCGAGTCAGGAGTCCCTCAGCCCCCCGATTCCCAGAGCTGGGCTTGGTTCTGTCTTCCTCATGGAATCAGGAGCCCCCAGCCCTTCTTCCCATAGCCAGGCTTGGTTCAATCTCCCTCATGGAATCAGGAGCCCCCATAGCTGGGTTCAGGTCAGGCTGTACCTTGATTCCCTGCAGCTCTCAGCCTTAGGGCTCTGTCCTGCTGTAGCTGCTGTGGGCTGTCATTGTCACCTCCGGGTGCTCTTCTCCCTCAGGGGAGCCCCTCTCTCTAGGGGCATCCCCTCCAAGCTCCTTGCTCCGTGAGCTCTCCTGGGATCCCTTCTCCTCAGCAGCTTCCTGTCTCTAAGACCCTTCAGCTGAGCCCTGGTAACCCTTTATCAAGCTCATTAGCTGTTTGGCTGCCAACCAGCCACCTAGAGATTTAATTACTTCCAGGTGGGGCTGGGTTGGCTGCTTCTCCCTTACAGGAGCCTGTCATAGGTAGGCTGGGCCCTGACTCCCCTTAAAGGGCCAGCCCCCCCCCGTGACATCCCTTCCCCCCACAAAGCCAACCTGTACCCAAAGGAAGGCTTGACCATGGCTCACACTTGGTTATTGTCTGCACCCAGAGGGGTACTTCCTGCCCTGCTGCCACAAGGAAATCTGCAAAGCCCTTGGCCACTGAAGTGTAAAGAGACTACGAGTTGTTCCCCCAATGTTCTGTGTAGCTCATGTGACAGGCAAAATCCTCCATAGTCTACAGCGTAGTTCAGAACTTGTACCCCCTGTAAGGGCATGTCTACACTGCAAACTTACGTTAACCTATGTTAGGTCGCCTTACAGCCACAGCAGTCATTACTGGGGTAGGTGTTGTCCACACTGCCCTCCTTTTCTCAGCGGTGTCCAGCTCCCCGCCAGGAGCCCAGCTGCCCCATGGGGATCTTGGGCAGCCACCCACATTTCTCACCTCCTTTAGCAGGGAGCTAGGATTGAGGGCAGATGGACTTCAGCTGAAGCCCATCATGGGTCTGGGCTTTCTTGATAATTTCACGGCTCCAGCATGGAGCCATGAAATTAACGACAGCTAACAGCTGACATAAGTAAGGCAGTGTCTACACCAACACTGCATCACCCTAACTACACCGACATTAGTCCTATGCCTCCTGTGCAGGTGGAGTCATTATGTCGGTGTAGTGCAGCACTTACATCAGTGGGAGCAAGGCTGTCGTGTGTACACTGACATAATTAGGTCAACGTAAGCTGCCTTATGTCAGACTGACTCTGTAGTGTAGACCAGACCTAAGTCAGGCCCTCTGGCCATCACAGAGATAGTCAATAGCACTGACCTTTCACCACTGGTGTCATGCTCCTGTGCCAGATATGGACTGGCCACAGCGCTTTCCTCTGAGCCAGATACACACCAGCTGTGTTCAGTGTAAGATCAATTAATGCTCTGCCAGGTCTGACTGAGGATTGTTTAAAAAAGGTATTTAGCACACAGCAGCACCCAGTGGCTGAACAGTATAATACAGTTTAGCATTCCATTACATCTTCCCCTTTAAATCCTACATTCCTACCGTTGCCAGTATTTACACTATCACACTGTATTTGGAGTGCAGTATGGATCAGTCTGTCAGGTGTCTCTGAATGGTCCTGGTCTTCTAATTACATGACCCGAATATGTAACAGATTGGTCCTCTGAGTGTTCATTAGTTGCAATGACTGACTATGGTCAGTCTGGAATCCTTGAGTCGTCTTCTTGCTCTGCATCCACCATCTGTAGAGTTTGCTCTGTCGATTGTTCTTTCTGAGGAACCAACTGTAGATATTGACAGTTTCTGCTGAGCTCTCCTCTGTCAGTCTCGACCACATACAACCTGGGTGCTGAATTATTTTCCTTTACGACAGCTGGAGTATTCCATTCTTTTTCTCCATCCAGTTTGACACAAACACCGTCACCAGATTCTAGACCTGGTAGGTCTCTGAGTGATGTCCTTTGTAAAAGTGTTCCTAAGCTCTTTTTATCTGATTTGGCTACTCCCTACATTGGGAGGGCAGTTCTGAGTTGTCTTCCCATCTGGAATTGTGCTGCACTGTATCCAGGAGCTGCTATTGGTGTAGATCTGTAGCTCAGAAGAGCAAAGAATGGATCTTTCTGTTGTAGGATATTCTTGGCTGTCTGTACATTGGCTTGGCTTCTCCATTCGCTTGTGAGTAATATGGGCTGCTAGTAATATGAGGAAGACCATATTTTATTTGGATAAATTAAATTCTGCTGCAGTGAATTGTGGTCCATGCTCTGTCACAAGTTTTTCTGGAACCCTGTGCACTTCAGT